TATTAACCTGAATTACAAACGGTAAAAACTATGCTAAGGAAATCAATATCAAGGAGTCCATTGGTGGAATCAGATTTGTACTACAATTAGAAGTTACATAGAGTTACTTAATAAAAATTTTAAAATACTAATATATCGCTAATATAACACTATTAAAAAAAATATGAATGATGTAAAATTCATTCTAATTGTAAATATAATTACTTTGTTCTTACTAAAATTTGTAATCAGTATAATGAAAACTGTGAAAAATTATATGCAAGAATTGATGAAAATAACAATATTTCTAAACCTTTCGAATTTAATTTTGATGAAACAAGATTTACTATTACTAAAGATAATAAAGATAATGATAATGATTACTACAATGATGCAATAAAAGAAATAAAGAAAGAAAAAAATCCTTACAAAGTATTTGTTGAATATGCTGACAAATGTAAAAAATGGCAATATACAACACAAATTTATAAGAATATTACAAGAAGTATTAAAGAAAAATCAATAAATTCTTTACAAGAAATCGATAGGTTTTGAGAATCTTGTATAATATATATTTATAGAGACAAAGGTACTGGAAAAAGTGATTTGTGTAAAGAATTATTTCCTGAAATATATGAAAAAGATGATATGAAACAATTTGAAAATTACAATAATGAAGAATTTAATTATAATAGAGATACTGTGATTTTGATATATAATTTTTATAGATCAAGTATTAGTTGGACAAACTTTTTAAGATTAACAGATCATAATTATTACAGGATAGATATAAAATATAGAAAAACAAAAATTGTTGCAATGTATATTTGTAAAATAGCAAATAGACCAATCAAAAATCTTTATAAAAAATTATGAGAATCTAATTCTTCAGTTGATATTGATGCATTTATTAGAAGAGTTAGATATATTATAAAATTTAAAGGAGAACCAAATTAATCCAAGAATTGAAAAAGGTGATGTTATATATATTTTTAAAAAAGGAAATAAACAAGATTTTAATAATTGAATATTTAATATTGAATTTAATAAAAACACAACTTTAGAATAAGCAAAAAAAGTTATATTAGATTTAAAAATTGAAAGAGATATATTGCAAGATACAAACACAGGATTTTATTATTAGAAATAAATTTGGAAAAATAATATAAACAAATATTCTATTATAGAAAATATTGATGATATTACTGATAGAGTTATAACTAATATTTCTAAATCAAAACCTGAAGATCAAGTAATTGTTGCTTCAAGTAAAAATAAATATTAAGAAAATACAAAACAAAAATTTTATGATTCTCAAATTTCAAGTAAAAAAAGAAAATTTGATTATAAATCAGAATATATAGCTGAATCATTAACAAATCAACAACAAGAAGATCAATACTCCAAAGTTAATAGTAATGCAGATTCAGATCAATTTTCAATCACTCTAATGATTTAGATTATACTCATAAGTAAAAAAAAGGCAAATTCAAAGCAAAAGAAAATCAAATTAATAATGATCTTCATAATTCATTATAGCAAATATATCAAGCAAATTATGAAGAGCTAAATATAAATAGTAAAAAAACTTTTAATTCTGAAGATTTACTTGTCGAAAATGATTTGTTTGATAACAATATTTTGGATATTGGTAAAGAGTCTATTAAAAATAAAAAACAAATAATTAATATTAATTCTGATACAATATACCAATTAGACAAATCAAATTCTTTGTATTCAGGTTTAAAACGAGTATTAAAAATTTAGCTTTTATATTTTATATTTTATTTTTTATTAGTATTATTATTATTTAAATTGTATCTATTATTTTTTATATAAATAAAATTAATAAACATTATCTATTTTTATAAAATAGCATCTAATTCTAATGGAATACAACAAGAAAATATTAATTTATTGTGTGAAAATACTGATTTTATTTAGGAAATTATAGTTTTACGCACAGACTGTGATGATCTAATTAGAAGAAACAATAACTTATTAAATCAAATTCAAGAACTTGAAACACAAAATAATCAATTAGTCGAAAACAATAAACAATTAGTAGAGATTAATAATGGATTAAAAATTGTATTATGAGATGTTGAAAATGAACAAGATGCTTATAAAATGTCAAATTTTGCAGAATTTAATAACTAACATCAATTACATCTTTGGTTTATTTGATATACTAGCTTAATATCAATTTTTTAATTATATATTTAATTTCTTAAAAACTTTTAATTTGTTTTCTGTAATTCAAAACAATTATTATATATGAATAATTTATAAAAAATTTATTCAACTATTATTTGTAATTCCATATATTTGGTTAAGTGAATATAAATGAATTTGAGTAGCTGAAATTTTATTTGTTAATATTTTAATAGCATATTTTATAGTTTATACAATATTGTATTTGATACTTTTTAAATTTTCAGTACAAAATTATGATTTTATTATTATTAAATTTTAAATAAATTTTATTTTTTTGATTTAATAATTTTTATTTCCAGTATTATTATTATTTAACAAGTTTATAATATGACAAAAATGAGTAGTATTTAATTGATATGTGACTTGTCACATGTTAGTTCATAAGCATGAGGCATTTGTCATATCATAAACAACTATGATATAACAAAAATAAGTAGTGTTTAATTGATATGTGACTTGTCACATGTTAATTTATAAGCACGAGGTGTTTGTCATATCATAAACAACTACATACTATATTTATCACAGACCAAAGGAAGAGAGGATAGCTTTCTTATATGGGGAAACCAAAACTTGTTTTGGTAGGTCTTGTCAAAGAAAGCATTATGTTAATAATGTTAGCATTTGCCTCTTGAGAGGCTTTAGGGATGGAAAGTTTAATTACATAATAGGTTTAATTTAAGTTTCTTAATTTCTGAGATGAAATGAAAACTATTAGTATTCAAAACATGTAATTCGTAGAATCATATATTTTTAATACAATAGGTGTTCATTTTATTATAAGAAATTACTGCTAAACATATGTAAAATTTTTGAAGATTAGAGATTGTTTGAGTAAGCGAACAATATTTTTCTCCAGTGGCTACTAAGAGAAAAATAATTGATATCAAGCAATAATAGTGGCTGCTAGTCAATGATCGATATTCTATTTATTATTTTTTTATTTTTTTATATTTTTTTTTTTTTAATATTAAGGTGACCACTTAGGCTATTGGCATGAGCTTTATTCGGATAGTTACGGTATTATATCAGATTCATGAGGATACAACTAGCCACACGTACACCTTTTGAGTATCTAATTTAAGTAGTCCATCTGGGTTCTACACTAGCTGCCATACCTGCAATCTAACTAGGAGATTACCTATTTAAGCTCTCTGGTTATTACTAACG